AGCCCGGCCGGAGCGCCTCCCCAGCCCGCGGCGCCAGGGCGGTGGCAGTGATGTGCCCGGGGCCGAGCGGGGCCGGCGCTCTCCGCCATGGCGGGGGCGGGCGCGGAGGGCGCGGCACGGCGGGGACCGAGCCCGGGCAGCCGCCGCCCTTCGCCCGCTCCTGCCCGGAGGGGTTCCCATGGAGACGCCCCGCGTCCTCTGACGAGTGCCCTCGTGTCGGCGACAGTTGCCATCGCGATTGGTGCCGCCCTCCTCGCAGCGCTCCCGAGCTCGGTCGCTTTGCAGGCGACTGTCCCCTCCTGCACGCCCCGCGCGCTCCGCTGGCTGCCAGGGGTGCAGATTTTTGGGAGAGGATCCAAAGCAGTGAGTGAGGTATCGCTCATCTCGACCTGTCAGCTGCTGTCATGGACCGAAGGTGCCGTCTCGTGCTTCAGCCCATTGTAATGTACCTCTTAAAACCTTTCTTACATCTAACTGAGCTCTTTCCTGGTTTCCTGTGCTGCAGGGGACTATATTTCAGTGTTCGTGTATTCTCTGTTCTTTCCCCTGTGCCTGGAATTGCTATCTGAAGGGGTTTGTTCAGATAAGGGTTTTTGGAATGGGAAGTTTGCAGGCAAAGTGGCTGTTCTCCCAAAATCACTTAACGCAAGCTTTGCTGCTGCAGAGGTAGGAGCTGCAGCAGGCAACAGGCATGAATGGAGAAATTAGAAAATAGTGTTTTTTCGTGGAAATGGCTGCAAATGGAGCCCGTATTCAGCAAGAGAATAGAGAAAGCAAGGGGAATTAAAGGTATATCCCATCAAATGAGGTTGCTTCAGTGAGCTAGCACAAATAGAGGTCGTTTTTTGGGTAGCAAAATATTACCAGAAATGTACTGACAACTCTGTGGGACTTCAGTGTAGGGTTTGTGTTTGTATTCAGTGAAGGTTGTACTGGCTCTTCCTTCAGGCAGTGCTGCTGGATGTGACTCAATGAATTTGAAGACAGGGGGTACTGGTTTCTTGGTTTGTGTATAATGCTTGCTCTTGTGCTTAAGTGCTAAAAACTCCTTTCATGTAATTGCTTCTTCATTTTCTTAAATACCTTTTGCTATTCATTAAATTTTAATAAAGACTTGAGTTTCTTGGAATGTATTTTTAATTAAATTGATTTATGTCAATCTGGCTAAAAAGATGAAGGTACTCATGCACCACCTAAGTGTAGATCCATTGGCATGTGCAGTTGCCTGGAGTATGAAACACCTCAGAATCTCCAGGTGGTTTAATGGTGCTGAAACAGGACTTCAGGAGATTTTCCTGCACCTGATAAGGAATCAAAACCCCTTATGCTGAGAAGTCAGTGCACACGTGTGTTTAGAGAAGGTGGCACGAGTTCAGTCAGTTCTCTGGGTTTCCAGGAGTGGGTGGGTCTTTCCTTTGTGTGATGTTCAAGGAGAATTGTCAGTCTGTAGTTATCCTGTAGAGATTGCTCACAGCCCTCTGGTAGTTTCAGCCTGATCTGGTCAGGATTGGGGGATTTTCCACAGAAGAGGCAAAGGGTTCCTATGGAGCCTGTCTTTCAGAGCGCTGGGGTAGCTGACTTATTCCCAACTCTGTGCCTGTGACTGGAATTGCCACATCTGTGAGTCTTTCATAATAACACTTCAGTAGGCTGACTGATTTTAACCAATCTGGCAGAAGATGACAGTATTTTTTTGGTGAGTTTATTCAAGATTGGTGGTTAGAATCAGCAGACCTCAAAGCCCTCATTCCTTCAGGCACAGGAGGAGAGTTCAGGCTCCCAGCCCCTGCAGTCAGGGGCAGCTAATCACCTATTTCTACCTGGCTAACCAGCACTTGCAGTGGTTGAGGGAAGGAAGGAGAGGAGTATTCAGTTTTGTCCTTCTAAAAGAAATCATGGTTTGTATTCTATCCATGATCGGTGCCATTTATTTAATTTACAGTGGTTATTTGTTCCCCAGGGAAAACCGGGTTCGCACTTTGCAGTCAGTGATTTCAACGAGCTGGTAATTTAAATGGGTGTCCCAGGCTGAATTGGGAATGTTTGTTGTATAACTTGACAATTTTGTGCTTCATCTTCAACCTTGTATTACACTTGATTCAAAATCACCTTGTATTTCTAATAGAAAACGCAAATAAGCCATGTTAAGTTTCCAGATATGAAGGAAAAATAAAAAAGTTCATGTAATTTCCAGAAAAGCTATGGGCAGAAAGAGAAGTAGCAAGTTGTCTGTATAGGCAGTGCTGATTTCTGTCTGTTTTAAATTTGTGTCAGGGACACACATAATGGATCTGGGATATGCCCTAATCTCAGTCTGCATAGAAACTTTCCCTGGTTAAGAAAAGTGAGGTCACCAAAGGCTACAAACAAATGTACTGAGAAAGGGTTGGCATCACTTTTATCATACACTCAGTATTTAGTTGGGAAAATGAAATTTTAGGCTAAGCATTCCTGTTATTTATTTTTTTGTTCTTTATTACTTCCCATCTCCTGCCTTTCACACGTGTTTGCCCTTCCACTGTGCAGACTCCCAACCGCTCTGGTTCCCAGCTGAGCAGCTCTGTGCAGAACAGCCATTTTGAGCTACACGCTCACCATCTATTGTTTTCCTCCAGAGAGATCCCTGAATGCATTGCACAGGTCCAGTGCCACATTTGAAACTGTTGTGTTGAGTTTGCAACTATTTGTTGGAAGAAAATGTGATCTAAAGCCAGGAACCAAGAAAGTTACCGTTGTGTGCTCATAGTAACAAATGAGCTGTTTTGGCTTTGTTTTCAGGAACAGTTGCAGCGTTTACTCAGCTGCTTCTTAACGAAATGAATGAGTTTACCCAGTGGTCTACTATCAATCTAATAATAATTCCTGTTGTCCACTTTTGTCTTCTTTTCCTGCCATTTATTTTAGTCACGATCCAGTATGTTGTGCCTTAAAGCAAGAAAGTCTTAATTTTTCTAAGGCTGCAAGGCAAAACCGTGGATTGTAACGCAATGAAAATGCTAGGTGGGAAAAGCCGTGCAGGTGAAAATCACTGCCTTCCTGGGCTCACCCAGTGCGGTTTGCATTTGCACGCGAAGATTCGGAAATGAGCAGTTTAACTGAAGGAAAAGCGAAGGTAGCGGGTGAGCCTGGGGCACATTTCTGGCAGGTGCCGGTAAATGTCGATGTGCTGCATGAAGTGCTGGCTAGCACAGCTGACAGCCAGCTCTGTGTGCTCTCCCTGGCGTTCATCTGCTCGTTGCCAGGTTCCTTGCGCAGGAAGCTGCCCGTGGACACCGCGGGCTGCTCTCACCGCGCGGGGCTGCTGCTGTGCTCCGGCCCCGGCTCTGCACAGAACACGCGAACAGCAGCGCTGGGCGAGGCCTCCTGACACGGGGGCACTCGAGAGGGTTCTCAGCCCCTGGTGCTGGTGCGGCTCCAAACTGGTGCTGCTGCTTCCCCCAGAGCTGGGACTGGTGCCCTGCGAAGAGAGCGGGGAGTCGGCCACAGCTCAGCCGACTGAGACAGGGTGTAGCAGGGGTTAATGAACACTCAGCCCGCGAGGGAAAAGGCAGACTGTCCCTTTCTCATGTAAATTAATTTGCCACAGCCGCAGGCAGTGCTTGGCTGTCACAGATCACAGGCACAGAAAACGCCAGGGCTGAACCTGGCCGCGGTGTTTTCGGTGTTTATGAGGAGCTACTGCCCGCACTTCACCATTGCCCTTAGAGCTGTGCTCTCCCTGACAATCTGCTGTCCTGCCCTTCAGCCCGTTGTCCAGCGGCTGTGGTCTTGCACCACCAGGGCCCCCGGGAACGCTGCTGTCCTCCCTGGGGACAAGGAGTGTCTGCGGCCATCGAGCGGTGCCAGCTGCTGCTGCCGCTGTCGGAGCCCGGCTCCGGAGGGGCAGCTCCGGGCAGGGAGGATGGCTCCTCCTGCGCCCCCTCTCCTCTGCAGCCCGTGGGGCAGCACTGCAGGCATGGGAGGCTGCATTGGCTCGCTGTCGAGCTGTAGGAACTTATTGCTCACAAGCCACCACTTGTTCTTTGGATCAGCTCCCTCAGTAATTCCGGGAGATGGCTGAGGAGTGGTTTTGACATGATGCCACTGATTGCTTTCTCTCCATCTAAAGTGGTTTGGGGTTTGAGCCTCCCTTGCCTTTTACTTTCTGTGCCGAGATGGTTGTAACCTTCACTGCTGGTACCTGAGAGCAGGTGTTGTTTGTGTCTAGATAGCCCATCGAAGACGTAGATGATGAAGCGGTGTTTTCCCCCTCTGCCTTGGAATCGCATGTCTCTGTCACAGGTAAGGTCTGCACAGGTTTTATTTACTGGGGCGAAGAGCAGGCAGGGAAGGTTTCCTTGCTCCTGCTACCTCTTCACTTGGAAGGCTCTGCACAGATGGTGTGAACAGTCATTTCATACCCCTGCCTTTATTAAACAACTGCCCCACCCCGCAGGAATCACGGGCACTGTTTGTGTAGTGGGAAATGGCCCTTCCCGAGGAGACAGAAGGGTTTAACGCTGTCACAGTTGTGTTCAAAGATGTGTTGTTATCCACGTGCAAACTGCTGACTTGCCTGGGGGTGCTCCCTATTTCCCCAGGTTACTCAGTCATCTCCTCCAGCCAAATTTCTCCTGTAATCGTCTAACACTAGCAAGCCATTAGCAATAATGCATAACCACAGGGCAAAAAGCTTAGCAAGAGAACTTTCTTATTAGAATATACTAGAATTCATTATGTATACCATGCATAATGACAAAATACGTTATTCTCAAAAATTAGTGACTAAAGTGAAGTGCAGTGGTTGATTTTTAAGGAGATCCAAATGGCCCAGCCATCAAAGGTATTTAGCAGTAACTCAGGGGAAAATTAAAGCAAAACCAAGAACAAGCTACTAGTACTTGGATTAGGTTGATAAAAATAGCTTGTAATCTATTACAAGTTTACACTTACATCCATTAATCTCTTATTATTCATTAAACAACAATGTATCTCCACTTTTTTTCTTAAGACCAGGGCATTTCTCTAAGGAAATGGATACGTCTTCCCAAAAATACCCAGTCAAAAAGCGAGTGAAAATTCATCCCAACACAGTAACAGTGAAATACACCTCTCATTATCCCCAGCCAGGAGAAGAGGGATGTGAGGATGTTAATGAAGATACTGGAGTATTTATGGAGGATAATCCTAAGAGAAGACTACTGAATAATGGGAAGAAGAGAGAAAATACTTTTTTTGGTACAATAGACACCAAACCAGCACAGCTGCCAAAACCTGATGAGGCTGGACAATCCCAGCACTTTGCTGAAGGCAATGTGCTGCATTCCAGGAAAACGTGGGCAGTCCTTTTTGGGTCTGCCGTGGCTCACGGATGTGTGGCTCTGATCACAAGATTAATTTCTGACCGTTCCAAAGTGCCATCTCTGGAGCTGATTTTCATCCGCTCGGTCCTGCAGGTGCTGTCCCTCATTGCTGTGTGCTACCACCACGAGCCTCCCTTCGGCCCCAAAGGCTACAGGCTCCGGCTCTTCCTCTATGGGGTGTGCAATGTCATCTCCATCACCTGTGCCTACACCTCCTTCTCCATAGTGCCCCCCAGCAATGGGACCATCATGTGGAGGGCCACCACCACGGTGTTCAGTGCCATTCTGGCTTTTTTACTCATAGATGAAGGAATGGCTTATATAGACGTACTCACTGTCATGGGCAGCGTGTTCGGGGTTTGTCTGGTCATGATCCCCAACATTGTTAAGGAGGAAAACTCTTTGCTGAGCACCTGGAAGGAAGCTTTTGGCTACACCATGACCGTCATGGCTGGTCTGACCACTGCCCTCTCCATGATAATCTACAGGTCCATCAAAGACCACATCAGCATGTGGACAGCGCTGTTCACTTTCAGCTGGACGGGAACAGTGTGGGGACTGTCCACCATGTTCCTGCTCCAAGAGCCAATCGTCCCACTGGATGGGGAGACCTGGAGCTATCTCCTTGCCATCTGCCTGTGCTCCACTGCAGCCTTCCTGGGGGTCTACCACGCCCTGGGCAAGTTCCACCCTGCTCTGGTGAGCACGGTGCAGCACCTGGAGATCGTCATCGCCATGGTCCTGCAGCTCCTTGTGCTGCACAGCTTCCCAGGCACTTGTGATCTGGTGGGGGCAGTGCTTATTTTGGTGAGTGTTTTTTTCCTTGCATGTTACAAGCTTTCCTGGAAGGAATTAAGAAGGCAAGATTATCAGGAGATTGTGGATTTGTCCAGTAAATGAATGTCGGATTTCCATGTCTGATTCTGGCTGTGACCGTGTGGAAGTGACTCCTTCCAACTCCTGTGTCCAAGCCTGGTGGCCAGGCCATTTCACTTCTCTCTACCATTTCATTTCTCAGCTGATGTAGCAATGTTGGTATTTCCAGGCTCCCGTGCCAGGTGGATTTGTTCTGCTGCACACAAGCATTCTGTCACACCCAAAAGAGTAGCACAGCCAGCACAGGCTGGCCCATTGAAATACAGGCCAAGCTCTTCTTGACCTTCTCTGGATAAAGCAATACAGAGGGACTCAAAAGTGACTCTCATTCATGTGTGCTGTGGTAGTAGGAAGACGAGCCATTAAAACTGTCAAACCAAATTGTCATTTCCTCTGTAATGCTTCTTAAGCTTTGGCTGTCATATTCTAAATGGAGCAATGCTAAATTTCTGTGGCTAAAACTTGCAATTCCTGTGCATATAAAGAAGTCAGTAAAGCTTTTTGTGCTTTGTGGCTAAATTTCTGGCTGAAACAATGCAGGAAGCCCACACGTCCCACGGGGGAAAGTGAGCCTCAAAAGCTGGATTTCCAGTTGTGCCACAGCTGTGACAGGTCCCCAGGAACCGTAAGGTCCATGACAGATAAAAGATCTAGCCCTGAAGCAGACCAAAATCCCTTCAATGGAACCATATTTTCTAAAGGAGGTTTAGAGTATTATCCAAGGGAGCATAAAAAATGGAGAAATAAAAGAATACATTTGAGATGGAGGTGTGAGCAGCATGGCAGTACTGACCAGCCTGGCAGCATCAGTGACTGTCACTCAGGGTGCCTGGGTCCTAAAACTCCAGGAAGGCATTGGATTCACCAAGAGCCCCAGGGTTTTATGAGCCCAAATAGTATTCCTGGCCATTCTAATGTGTGGCTGTAAAGAGAAAGGCCAGCACCTGTGTCCATGGGCTCTGTGCCAACCAGCCCTGCAGGCACCTCCCACTGCAGCTGCCTGTGCCTCTGTTCTGTGCCATGAGCATTTTCTGAGGGAAAAGGCATCACTCAGGTGGCTCCAACCAGTCCAGCTTCCCCCATAGAAAATACATTTTACTTGTGAAAAGAAGCAGCAATTTATTTTATTCCTATGCATACTTAGGGAGATCAAGTTCCCTGACATCAGCCAGCCCAGATGGCAATGCTCCTGATCCGTGTGACACTTGTGTCCTCCAGTGCTGGTGATGCCAGAGACCCCCTGGGCCACACAGGGGTCCCTCAGGTGCTGGCACAGTCACAGCTGCCCCGACAGCTGTTTCCTTGAGAAGCAGGTGGAGTTGGCAACAGGAGCTCTGCCCCCTGTAGGAAGGACAGAATAAAAAGGGAGCAGGTAAAGCAAAGCAGTGCTGGGAAAACTCTGCCCAGCCAGAAACCCCTTTGACAGCTTAGGGCAGAGCAGTTCCCAGCCCAGAATCCTGCTGTGCTTCTGTCAACTCCTCATTTCACTCTGGGGCAGATGGTCTTTCTTCCTCTGGCTGCTCAGGCAGCAGGAAAGCTTCCTTTGTGGAAAGCAACCGGGTCACGAGGCTTCCACGCCTGTCCCTCTGCAGGGACTCGAGCTCTGAGGCTCAGCTGTGCCAACACATACATGTGCAGGCACCCAGCTAGGCACATCTGGCGAGCCAGGGGCACTGGACAGCAGGACTCTGCAGCAGCCTCCACTGTGCAGCAGGGCTGAGTCTTGCCCCAGCCCCAAAGCAGCCGAGCCCCCTCCTCAGAACCTCCCCGGAGCCCAGGCTGGCACAGGCAGCTCCCCCAGGGGCCCACCCCAAGAACCTGCGTGCTGTCGTGGAGCAGTTCAGGGCTCTACGGGGCCTGGTCCCGCTCCAGCAGCCCCACAGCCTGCAGGAGGTCCTGCACAGCCCTGTCCACATCTGCCCGTGTGGTGCCACGGCCCACGCTCAGCCGCAGCGCGTTCTGCGCCACCTCCGGGGGAATCCCGCAGCTCAGCAGCACCGGGGAGGGCCTGGAACACAGCCAGCAGGAGGAGCAGGTTGGACTCCAAGGCCGAGGAAGCCCCACACAGCAGGGAGCCTCACCGAGCCCCAGGAGCAATCACATTTGCAGACGCACTCCAGGGTACCTGTCCCCTGCACAGCCCCGTTTGCTTTCCAGGGGCACCCAATCCCACTAGGCTTGTGGCCCTGTGCGGGATCTGGCTCTTCTAAGAAGAGCCTGTTCCATGTCCCTGTGGGATGGCAGCTCTGCCACATCCAGAGGGCATTGCTCCAGACCAGGCCAAAAGCACTCACAGTCCCCAAATCCCCTAAAGGAGCCATCTGGAGACCCAAGCAGGGCTGGAACAGGTGAGCCAGGCACAAAAAGACACAAGGCAGGCTCTCTTCTGGTAGTGCCAGGAGTGCAAAAGTACTTCCAAGCTCAGCTGGTAACCAAAGCTGGGAGGGACAAAGTCCTTCCAAGCAGCAATGGAATTCCAGCTGTCTCCTGCAAAAATCCCCTTCACAGCCCTTCAGGAGCTCCTCTGGAAGGAGGAGCTCCGTACCCTCTTTGTCCCAGGTGATGCTACCCAAGCCACCCACTGTCCCTCTCCCTGTCCTGTTTCCGTCCCTCCCAACTCTTGTCCTCTGGGAAGACACACAGGGGCTGGAAAAGCTGTCTGCTCACCGATCCCCCTTCTCAGAGTGGCAGGCAGCCCCGACACTGGCGAGGAGCACCTTGCAGTGAGCCAGCACCCTTCGCCCTGCAGCACAAGCAACACAAGAACAGCTCTCCTGCTGCCCAGGCTCTCTCCAGGGGCTACTCCTGCCTCGCCTCCCTGCCTGAGCCGTGCCAAGTGCCCGCCAGTCTCAGCCACAGGCGCTGTGAGGGGCAGGTGCTCGGCTCTGTGCAACAATCAGGGGACAGCAGCAGGATAAGAGCTACCTTGAAGGCCTGGGCCCAGGATGGAGAAATTACAGGTGTTGCAGAGTCGCTTGGAGCCCTTAAAGTGACTGTTGAAGTGAATCCTCTGCTTCCCAAAGGAGGCCTGGAGAAATCAGAGGGCTGTGAACCTCTCTGGGTTTCCAAGCAGCTCTGTCCTTGTGAGGGGGTGGGCAGGGCCAGAGGGACATATCCACCCTGCTCAAGGGCCCCACACCCTGCAGCCCGAGACTGTGGCAAGGGACCAGATGTGCTCACCTCCAGCGTGGCCTCCAGGTAATCCCGGACATCCCGCATATGAGCCTCATAGGCCTCCCAGTTCTTGTTCACTAACTCTGCAGCCTGAGAACACACAGACAGGCTCCACCAGTGACCCTTGGACACCTCCCCTGTGCACGGTCCCCAGGATGTGAGCCCAGCCTGGAAGAGCCTCTGCATTGCCAGGTCCCCTGTGTCCCCTCTCAGTGCCCTGTGCCATGGGAGCTGGGTGACTGCCAGGGCTGCAAACACGCAGCAAGCGTGCCAAAGCAGCTCCTTCAATTGGCATCAGAAAGCCCCACCACCTTTCCCAGCTCACCCCACCTCCCACATGTCCCAAGTTTGTCCCTTCTGATGACCAGGGAGCACAAGTGGCTGTCTCTGTGCTGGGTCTACACCACTCACCCCGGACCATCCCAACTGACCTGGCCAAGGCCGGCAATCATCGGGGTGTTCTCAGTGCTGGAAGGGAACAGAGACCAGTGAGTTATTTCTCCTGACCAGAAACCCAACCCTGAGACACAGACATTCCCTCATGGGACCCCTCATGGCTGGCAGGAGCTCCTGGGCACCTCTCTGAGGTGGTTGAGAAGGAGGCAGTTCCACCCTGAGGTTACACCCTTGGCAAAGCCTGAGCTCCAGGGAGTTTCCATGCATGGATCCATTTCCCTGCCATGCTGGATCGCTTGCCCCAGGGCTGGCAGGTGACACAGCTGCCAGCTCAGCTCAGACAAGGCAGCCCATGTGGCCTGGCCACCAGCCAGGGGCCCAGCTCTCCAGGTAACCACCTGCCCCCTTACCCTGGCCGGAAACTCCTCTCCTGTCCCCCTCCAAAGAGCATGGGGTGCAGCGGGGTGGCAGTGCCAGGGCTGTGGATGTACAGCGCTCCAATCCGTGGGCCATGGAACTGTGGGGACAGCCACAGTGACCCTGGGGACACTGACAGCACTGGCAGTGCTTCCTGCCCTCCTGCCCAAATCTGAGTGCCCTCCAGTGCTGGCTCCTGCCCATCACACAGGCAAATCCATTGCAGAGCTGCTCCCCATGCTCAGTCTCCTGCCCCCCAGCCCAGACAGCATCCACAGGAGCGAAGTCTGTCTGCAGAGCACCACCCAGCAGGAGAACTTTGGCTACTGTGAGGTACCAAGCTGCGTGGGGCACCCGAAGTCCCCCTGGCACCCCAGCAGAGATGTCACACAGGGTGATCAGCAGCTGGGCCACACGAGCAGGGCCACACCTTGTGTCCCACGATGGTCAGGTAGTCCACGCCCAGCTCCTGCACGTCCACGCGCCCCTTGCCAATCATCTGCGCTGCATCCGTGTGCACCAGGATCCTGGGCAGAGCCTCGGCCGCTCTGCGCCGGTTCAGGGCACGGATGCGCTGGCTCAGCTCTGCCACGGGCTGGGGGCAGGGATGAGGGGCTGATCCCAGGCACCTCCTGCTCCCTCTGTCACCGCCTCTTCGCGAGGGCATCTCCGCCCCTGCCCCTCTCTGCCCGCACTCACCATGATGACCCCGGTCTCGTTATTGGCCAGCATGAGGGACACCAGGCAGGTGTTTGGCTGGATGGCGGCCAGGACATCGTCCACCTCTGCCTGCCCGCTCCGTGGGGACACAGGCACAAAGGTGGCTTCTGCAGGCCAGGAGACAAGCCCTGGGTAGGCTGTGAGTGCTCAGGGCTGCGTGTGCCCCACTGAGCAGGGCAGGAGTGTGTGGGCGGTGGGAGCACAGGCACAGAGCAGGGAGGTGACACATCCAGCCTGGGGCAACATGGGCAACCACCGGGGGAAATGGTGCCCTTCTCCAGGGGGAGAAAGTGGAACATCACAGAGCATGCAGGATCTTACCCTCCTCCGAAAACACCAGCAGAGACAAGTCCCCTGTTCAAACCTCATCTGTGCCTGTGCCACTCACCTGCCAGGCCCTCCCTCCCCAGCTGCTCCAGCGGCAGGCGGATGGAGTCGTGCTCTACGCTTGATGTCACGATGTGCGGTGTGCCCCGGCTGTCCCCCGTCCCACGCTGGCTGTCGTGGAAGTGCCTGCAGGCAGTGTGGATCACCATGTTGTTCGCCTGAAGAGGGGAAGTGGAGAAAGAGAGGGAAAATGGAGGCTCAGAAGGAGCACAGTGTCCTTCATCCCTACCCTCCTCATTGCTGCTTGCTGGAGGGAGGGGGGGTGGGCGGGCAGGGATTCCCAAGAAGGGAGGTCGCCCCTGCTCCCACCTCCGTGCCACCTGAGGTGAAGACGATGTCCTCGGGGCGGCCTCCTAGCATCTTCGCCAGGCTCTCCCGTGCGCTGCCGATGAGCTCCTTCGCCTTGCTGCCTGCAGGACCAGATCCAGCAGCTCCCGCGGGCTCTTGTCACCACGGGGCCCAGCCCGAGAAGGCAACACGGCCCATCCTGGTCCCTACCTGCAGGGTGGGAACTGCTGGGGTTGCCCCAGGCCTGGCACATGGCGTCCCACACGGCCTCGGCCACCTCGGGGGCCAGGGGGGTGGTGGCGTTGTAGTCCAGGTAGACTCTCCTGTAGGGGCAGGGGCAGATAAGCGGCGCTGGGGAGCACAGGGGGGAGCACGGGGCAGGGCAGGGCCTCACCCCTCCAATGAGTCACACTGCGCCTCCGCCGGCTGTGTCCCCGCGCCCATCGCTGCTGTCACTGTCGCTGTCACTGTCCGCCTGCCGTCACCAACCTGGCATCGGGGGTTACAGACATGGGGCTGCCCATGGGGCACCAGGCACCTGCCCCGCCCGGGGCACCACAACAACCAACACCCTCCTGCCTGCCCACAGCCACCAATCAGCTCACTGGCCGCTGCCCCCTCAGGGCACTGACCAATCAGCTGCCCCGCAGTAACGGCTCCGTCACCCCGCTCCCCCGGCCGCGCCGCCCAATCCGCTGCCGCCAGCCCATTGGCCGGGGGCTCGCGAGCGCACGGGGCTCCGTTACCCCGGCGGGCGGTGCGCGAGCCCCCTGCCCCCTTTCCCCCCCGCGTGGCGGCGGGTGTCACTCACGCGCCGCTCACGCACGGCCCGAGACGGAATGGGCGTGGCTCGCGAGGCAGTGCGCTTCCGGCGCGCGGGGGTGGGCGGTACTTCCGGGACGGACGCGAGGCCAGGGAGCGGCGGCGCTTCCCCTCGTCAAGATGGCGGCGGCACCGTCGGTGCGGTTCCCGTGCCGCGCCCCGCGCAGGCTCCGCGCCGCGCTCCGCGCGATGGCGGTGAGCGCCGGGCAGGGGGGTCCGGGGCGAGCAGCGACGACCTCCGCGCGGGACGGGGGCGGACGGCG